AAAAAAAAAAAAAAAAAAAAAAAAAAACAACAACAACAACATGATAGAGGGCCTCAAAGACTCGACAGATCAAGAGAATGTCAACACAACAAGTACAGAGATGGTCAGGATAGCCAGGACATTCTACACAGACTTATACCAGGCGAAGACACCTTCACCCCTGACCACAACGAACATAACAGCCCGTCAACACATGTTGTCGTACCTAGACAAAACAATCTCGACAATTCAAGCTGAAAGTCTGGACAAACCCCTAACCCTGGCGGAGCTATATGTAACCCTGACCCAAATGATAAAGCTCCGTGCATTAACGGCCTCTCGAAAGAATTTTGGAGCTACTTCTGGCCGACTCTAGGGGAGGACCTGCTCGAGTTCTTCGAAGACAACAGGCTTAAGGGAGGCCTAGGCAATGAACTGAGCACCAGCGTGGTATCTCTGTTGCATAAGAAGGGAGACAAAGAAGACTTGAAGAACTATAGACCCATATCACTATTCACCACTCCGTACAAAAGCCTCGCTAAGGCTCTCGCAAATAGAATCACAAAACTAACAAACAAATGTTTTCATATCGACCAAGCAGGCTTTATCCCTGGCCGATACATACTAGACAACGTGATGACACCGAATGAGGCAGCATTGCGCAGCAAAGAAGAACACGGAAAAACGAATGAAGGCAGCAATCCTGTTTTTTTACTTTGAAAAAGCCTACGGCGAGGTCAACTACGACTTCCTGCATGCCTGCACGGAGAAAATGGGGGTAGGTCCCATGTTCAGAGAATGGGTTAGAGTCCTCTACGCAGGCGCAACAGGTAGAGTTCAGGTCAATCGGATTCTTTCAGAGACTGACCCGATCTCAAGATCAGTTAGACAAGGCGACCCATTGGCTCCTCCCATCTTCCTCTTCATTATGGAAGCTATAACCTCCTTCCTTCGGAAAGACGCATCCATCGACTGCCTTACCGAACGCAACTTCAACCCATTATACGACTTCGTCATACCCACTGCGCTAATTCACCGACGACCTCACTGTCCTCATTCGTGCCAACAACTGCTCCTTCCAAACCCTCGTCAGAGCAATGGAAGCCTTCAGACTGGCATCCGCAATGAAGGTCAATTGGGGCAAAACAAAAGGACGGTGGCTAGTAGACGGGACCTCCCCCCAACCAGCCGATACAGCCACACCCATGTCATGGTCTACAAGAGATCAGGCTCTAAGATTCCTAGGTATCATGGTAAACAAGGATGGGGTCTGGCCAGGCATGGGCCACAACCTAGTCGCCAGGGCAATCACTCGCATGGCCCCATGCAAAAACGCTCAGGCCTCGCTAATCGGAAGAGAATTACTAATTAACACGGCAATCTTCTCCACACTGTGGTACATGGCATCCATCTGGTCCCCCCCGGGCGACGACCTCAAAACATTAAAAAATACCGACCCCAACAGGACCACATGTGTCAACAAGGTAGCCTGGAACCACATCATCAGCAAACCACAGGAGGGCTTTGATCCCAAACAGGAATCCATAGCACTACAGATGAAATGGATTAATAAGCTCTTGTTAAGACAATTCATTCCATGGACCCAGATGGTTCTAGACAGCATCAAAAATCTAGCACCTATCAACTCCCCTCCGAACATGAAAGGTCTTTTCTGGATAATGGCAAAGGACTGGACAATCACATCAGACAGACCTTGCAGAAGAAACCCAGCAGATCTCTTAACAAGCCCCATCCCAACAACAAATCCGTACTGCAAGCCTACCCTCAAAGCCTGGCGAAGAATGATGTCGAGCAAACGCGGTGCACCAGAAGAGGTCCTGAGACAACCTCTGTTCTGCAACCCCTGGATCGTAGACCCGAGTGGCTCACCCTGGACACTACGCTCAAAAGACAGGAGATGGCTATCCTAGGTGGGAAAAGGGGTGTGGAAGGTGAAACACATTTGAGCAGAAGATCGAAGACAATGGTCAACCGAACAGGAGCCCCAAAATTGATTTAAAAGGCTGCCACGCCCTCACAGAAAATTTAACACAGAAGAGCATCCCAACACAGTGGCTCTCCCTCCTAAGGGAGGACATCTCGTGGAAATCCGGGGACTGGGGCATACTCATTTCCCAGACCCAGCCTCGCAGAGGATACCGATTCGTCTCTCGAACCAATGCACCAAGCTACCTCTCCAAATTATTCTCCTACCTGATCACTAACCACAACCTACAAGAGTTGGAAATTAGGAACAAAGAACCCCAGTGTGAAATGCTAGAATCCTTCCGACTGAGGAAAGTGAGGGTCCCTAAAGCCAAACCGGGGATAATCTTCCAACCTGATCTCAGCATTTCAGACCTTGAATTTGACCCGAAAGAGTGGATCTGGAAACAGGGAAAATCCGGGAGAACAAGAACGATAGAATACAATGTAAATTTTGGATATGACTCAGGATTACAAACCATAGACCTGGATCCCAGACTAAATGAAAAATGGAGGGAGATCCTGAACCTAGAACCTACGGGCCCCATTCCATCCCCTGGACGAGACCGGTTAGGATTCGAAGCATGCAGTGGCTCGTAGCCCACGCATCTCTGCCTGTCAACCAATGGCTCCACAAGAGGAGGAAACGTAGGGATCCGACAGCTCCGAAGTATGTGATATGTGCACAGACAATAGACCAGAAGACATACCCCACTGCCTCTTGTACTGCACTGAAGCAGCCTGGATATGGAACAAGGTCCGCAACTTATGGTCCCTCCTCTTCTCATCACCCCCTCCCCCCACATCTCCTCAGAACATCCTTCTTTTATCCAACATTACTAACACTCTCAAAGGCGGCAAGGAAATCTGGTTTCACCTCCTGAGGAAGCTGGCTCTGTGGGTGATCTGGAAAAAGAGATAACAGAGGTGGCAAGGGAAGAAATATGGGCCCAACTGTTGGGTATGACGGAAACTGAGATTCGGTGCAGATGGAGGGAGGTGACATCAACAGCGAAAGTCAAAACAGAAAGGCTGGCTACCAAGAGATGTTCTTTCATGAGAGACTAGCTTCCAGAGGGAAAGATTGCAACAGTGGCAGATAACAGATTAATCTGGAAGAAATGGCACAGTGAAACTCCAGCAAGGACGACGACCCAGTGATGGGCAAGTTGAGACCATAGTCTCAGCAATATTGACAACTCTCCTCTTTTGTTGGTGCTCATGAATTATATGACAGAATCACCATGGATTCTGCGAGGAAAAGTGGTAGAGCAAGCTGACAGTCACTCCTACACAGGAGCAATCAATGCTGGTCAGGGCTCCTTCGGCCACATGGAAGGATGCGTGAGCGTGTTCACCATGTATTTCAATTCTTGACTTGCCAGTGGACGGGAACCGGACTGACACTCCCCACAATGGACATGGAGCCAGGACCATAAGGACCTGTTATTATGAAAAAAAAAAAAAAAAAAAGATTGCATGCAGGCACATGACCTGCTTATCATGTCATTCAGCGAACAGGCGGGTACCGTTCTCCCATCCTGCTCTATCGATTTGCCAGCACAAAGCTATATGTGATTCATCGTCATCGTCATCATGAACAGAAAGGGGAAGGACAAGAAGAAAGAAAAAGAAGAACACAAGCAACAAACAACTTCAGTGAATGCAACAGCAACAACAGCAGAGGCAGCAACCACAGTTGCAATAGCTACAATCCCCAGGTCTCCCCCGCAGACCTTCTGTTCCGCAGTCTTTGGCGGTAAATCGGTGCGCGGCACCCACGGTTTCTCGGACTCGGCGGAGTGGTTGATGCCTTCAATGACTCGCCTGCGAGCTCTGGAAATGTCTTGTCTGACAGGCCTGTTTCCACCTGCACTCTTCTTCGTGAAGCTGAAAGTTCCCCGTAGTTCCATCCCATCAAGATGCTCTTCCAGTGAAGCCCCCGTGGTGGAAACTGATACAACACCTTTTCCCTCATTCGAAGATCCTGCAGGAGCGGGGGCCACTTGCATCTCCATGATGCTTCCACGGGGGGACTGTAAATCCACTGCAGCAGAAGATTGGCCAGCAACCTGTGCACAAAAGCAGTTCTTCGTTAAAAAGTACACACATTGTACCATGATAAGAGTAGAAAGAATGCATTACATTTGTCTATGGATGGAAAGATTTACGAACAGTTCAATCCACTCGCGTGGTTGCATGCCGGAGTTGCAACTGACAGGTGCTGCACTGAAAACCAACACAGATGCCCTGCGCCAATCAGCAATGATATAACAACTACCGGTAGGGCAAAGGATGACTCGATGGGTACTCAAGCTCAGTTCTATTCAGAATCCACCTGGCGATCCTGGGGTGCAATTGTCATCTCCAGGACCGAAGCCAGGCCCAACACTGTTTCTTTTTTGAAATAAGTTACTCTCACAACTCTGCTGCAACCTCCATGACTGCATTTAAAAATGTGCCGGCGACAAGACTCCAAAAAACATTTTCGACTGCAAATTGAAACTGAAAAGTATGATGCGTCCATATTGGGCTGTGTAAAAGACCAACCCTCTCAACCGAGATTCAACAGAAGAGCTTCAGGGGGCAGTGGGCCAGCCTGCCCGACATCTGTCTCTTATACACATCTAGATGTGTATAAGAGACAGGGACAAGAGGAAGGACCGATGAGACCCCACAG